CACTGAGGTTGTGCACGAATGTTTTCACCACAGCTCGAATAAATTCCCACTAAGGGCACTAAATATTTGTCCCGAAGGACCACTCCTTAAGAACCATATACATAATGCAATGGACTAAATAAGTGTACCGAAGTACAACATATATATTCCAAAGAATTACACATATTTCTCGAAGGACCACGTAGAACCCTCGACTCTTGGCATGCCAATTATACATACCGCTCTCATATTAAATAACATGGGCTTAAATATGAATACATTTCTCCTTTTCAGATCTCTTTTATCACTTTTCATATAAACACATAATTCACTTCGCATGTACATATATAATCACTTTCATTATTTCACATACCTAGATTGATTCTATTATAATGGTATTCATCTATATAATATCATATTAAAGCATGAATATATTATTTACGAAATCACTATAACAATAATATATGTATATATATATATATATATGCATGTACATGAATATAAAATCATAAATTCACTATAAGAGATAGACTTACCGCAAGTCTTATCTCTATACAATTCTATTTAGGGTATACATTCACCTTAGCCTTGCTTGGACTTGATCCTAATTCTTCGATTGTTCCGGAACATGATTACGTTCTATATCTACATAGTCATACATTGATACATATCAGTGTTCTAATTGGGATACTCTAATCTTTCATTTCTTAAACTAAAAGAACGATTACTTTCATTTCTTATTTAAGGTAGGTATCGGTACACTCTATAATGTATCGATACATCCCTTAATGTGTGTATCGATACGCTATCTATGTATCGGTACACAAATTACATTCGAAGTTTTCATTTTAAGGGGGTATCAATACACTTCCTATGTTTCGATACACTTTGAATATTTCCTGAATTTTACTCTTGATGTATCGGTACCTGTTGAATGTGTACCGATACACCTTGCCCAGAAATCACATTTTGAGCATAAAAATCACTTTATTCTATCTCAATTGTCTCTTATTTCAACCTCTTTCATATACTTAACTTATATACACCTACTTAAACTAATTAATACTTATTAAATACCTCTTTAACGTCAAAATCCAATCCTCCACATAGCATTCAAGAATAATATTCAAATTTCAAAATTTTTTAAATCCAGTTCTAACACTTCATACTCATTAATTAGGTTGGTGACAAGTCAAATCCAACTTCCAATTCTAATTATGAACTCTATTTCAAGATTTCATTCTATAACTCATAATATTTAATCCCTCCTAACTCCATCATCTTTTGATTTTAAGATAACTTAAGCTTTCCTTAAGCTTAGTTATCATCTAATGATCATAAACCAACCTTAAATTCAACAAGAAACTAACTAACCTGAAAACTCACCTTTGTTTTGGCTCTCACGTATGAAGAAGGATGAAGAAGAGGAAGAGAACTCTGTAAGCTTGTTTTTACTTCCTTCACTTCCACGAGGTTAATATATAACCAAACTTAATTATTTACTTACAACTGACCATTTTGTCCTTCAATTCCTCATTCTTTATAATTTAATCCTACATAATATTTCTCGTATAAATCCTTGAACTATTCAATTATTCTACTTTAATCACCAAATTCTAAAACTTTACAATTTAGTCACTAACCTTGTATTAAGGATGTTACAAAGTTAGTAAGATTAAGTAATGATGAGTTTCATGGTATGGTATGAGATATAAGTAAGAGATTTAGGCAAAAATGCAATAAAAATCAAAGTAAATGTAAAATATGGGTATAGGTATCGATACTAGAAGAATAATACCGATAATATAGGGTTAAATTTAAGGAAAGAGGATAAAAATGATGAACAACTCCGATACTGATGCAAGTAGTATCGATACTGATATATAGGTATCGATACCAAGAGGAATATATCAATACTGTAATTGGAAAATGGATTCCATAATGCAAAAATGGTATCGATACTGAAGTGAGTATCAGTACCATAGTATAGAAGTATCGATACCATAGAAAGCGTACCGATACTATTAAGCCTGGAATTATAAGTTAAGATGAATTTTTAATAGAATTCGAAAATAATAGTACTTTTAAGTATTATTATTTTGTATAGATGTTAGATAGTATACTAACATTTTTAATATATGTATGATTATGGATGCTTGTGTAGATCGTAATCAAACTACTGAGTCAAGCAAGCAAAAAGGCAAGGATAAAGTAGCTGATTGTCGGTTAATAATTAAGGCAAAATAGTGAGGCATACCAGGTGAGTGCATTTATTGTACGTATATAAGATGAGGAAGACTTGCGATGAGTCAACCTCGAATGTTTTGATAAAAACATGTTTCACTACTAGAAAAAAAACCCTTTAATGACGCGCATTGCGCGTCATCTATAGATGCAGATGACACACAAATACCTGTCGTTGAAGCCACCGACATGAATCTTAGATGACGCGCAATTGTGTGTCATAAATCTATGTCGCGCATTGATGACACGCATTTATAACTCACACTTATGACGCACATTGAGCTTCATTGAAGCTCCCGTCATAAATGAAGATGACACACATTTGTGTGTCATAAATTTATGTCACGCGTGTATGACTCACATTGCGTGTCATTGAAGCACACGTCATTAAAAAAGATGACACACATTCCTGTGTCGTGATTGTATTTCATAAATTATATATATATATATATATATATATATATATATATATTGTAGATTGACAAATAATCAAATTAAATCACATTTAATGCCTCATAATACTAAATATATGTATCATATTATATATAAACAATCCATTTGTATACAATATATTCACATTAAGTTATCAAAAATATTGTAATCATATGTACTATCTATGATGCACAAAGAAGAATTGAAACCAAAGCCTATGAATTCAACAATATAGTCCTAGTTCACATAGAGTGATTTCGTTGGATGTAATCAAATAATGCACTTTGTTTCCACATACTTAGAGCTTTGAGCATCTGGATAAAAGAAACATATATGTGCAAATAGGCAGTGTTGCCAAACCTGTATTGACAAAAACAAAAATGAGGATGCTTAGAATATGCAAAAACAATATCAACAAAAGGTAAGCAAAATAAAACAAAGATGTCAAAATTTTGCACAGACAGTACATAATAAGCTCCACATTGTATAAGCAATTTGCAGCCTATAGCATAAATCTTTTGGCAACTCAACATCTTAAATGCTTTTAAAATTTAATTTTCATTAAAAGTATAAGAAAAATAAATTAGTGCTGTCAGAACCAGTTTCAGGGCAAGGCATTAAGATATGAAAACACGGAGCAAAACAAATGGCAGTAATTCAACAAATTAGGATACTACTTAATTAAGAAACTTCATTATGTAGAGAAGGCAACTTGACCACTACGTAAAACCCCCTTAACCTTAGTTCAAGTTTAAGAAACAAAATAAAAGATAAAACAATACATGTACATGTACTACTACTGCATCTATACTTGATTTGAGCTTAACAATAATCATCCAGGTTTATTTAGCTGAGAATTTTCACAAACTCAAGTCAACCTACCAACTTGGGTGCAATAACTCTTTAACAACCATTAGGATAGGAAAGTAGATAGATCATTGAGGAACAATATTATACTTAAAACAAAAAAGACACTACTAACAAAGAGTATATAACTTAAAGAGTAAAATGACCAATTTATACTTATTTAAAGTGAAGTATATAACTATCAAAGAGTACTAAAATGACCAATTTTAATCATAATTATAAGATTATTGCAAGTATGGAAATAAATAAAGTAGTTTGAAATAAGCAGACATATATATACTAACAGGTGAATATTACAGTAATATTAACGAGTTTATCATACTGTGGACCCGAATTCCTCAATAGGCAGCATATAAATTTGGGCCAAAGGAAAAATATATCAGTAAAGGAGGTCGAATCAATGCACGTTGAAAAATAATTATTGTCAAAGTGGGAACTATAGCAATATAGGAGAGCAGTAGTAGTAAACTTTGTAGAAATAAAGCAACGAATCTATTCATATTGATGGATGGATGATAAACAAGTGGTTAGCCTACCTTCTATTCTATATATAATGCAAAAGTGTATCGGCATAAGAATTCCTTAACCTACAGCTATCCCAAATGGACATCCCCAAAGACATACCTACATCACCAAACAACAGGTAATGAAAATATGATACTGGTAAGATGAGGAAAAGACAGAGATAAAATAAAATATGGAACCTGTATTCACAGTATTCAGGCTATGCACACCGAGTTTTTCCATAATCCCAATAGAAGTCATCATCCCTTAAGGGCCCTCACTTAGCTATCAACATTATTATAATGAGTAAAACTCATTTAACCTTTGAGAAAAGAAGTAAAACAGTACGCCATTTTTTTAACAAAATTGGATGCTGCATCAACATTAATATCATGCCAAATCTGGAGCCATAACTCTCGCATTAGAGCTGGTAATCTAACTATGTTCCTGTGATTTTCTACAAGAATATGATATCAGTTTAACCCACTTGTAGTGATAAGGTGGAAGTCAAAGAATGTTACTTAACATTGTTAACCCAATTTTCTTGTAAAAGAAATGGTAGAAAAATAGGAAGAATGCAACTAACTCGAAAATAGTAATAACGCTTCCTCAATATAGAGAAATGGGGAATACAAAGTAATCAAGCTAAGTAGATAAACCTTGAATGGAAGATAAGCTTTTAAATATTTATTTTGATTGTCGTTTAGCAGGAATACACAAGAGGTATTCCCCAGTTACCATAACTCTGATTCTTATAGATTATGCAGGAAGTTGAAAGAAATGTTTTTCCAAAACCAGAGAGAACCATTTTTTATAAGATCCCTAACCGGACATCGAGCCATAACCACAAGAACCATAATGTTGGGCTATTTAATATTCTTAAGAATGAATAGTAGCATGGAAATTCAATTCAACATAATCTGAAATCATACTTCTATAAAAGCCATTTATTAAGAAAAGCATCAAAGCTAACATCACCTACCTTTATCAAGCTCCCAAACTGATGTCTTCCTTCCGGGAATGCTTTCCGGGTCTTCATAATAAGTTATGTATTTGACTCTAGGTGACCTTGTCATATTGGGGACTATATCTTCATTATGATGCTCAACATTCAACTCCACTTGTACATCTGACCTATCATACTCTGACTGCAATATGCAAGAGAAAGTTTACTATTTCAAACTCTCAATAATTATGTCATACTTAGGATATATAACATTAAAACCTAGCAAACATACTCATCGTATCAGATGGATAATGCCTCACATATTTTACCTATTCGGTACACAAATAAATACCCTTTTTTATTATAAAACGGTTTGAGAGAAACATGGAATAAAGAATGTTATACAACTCAGCTCAGATATCTCATCAAACTCCCACTCAGATACATATGATGCATTGAATATCTAGAAGATTGAAAGCTTTTCAAATCATCATAAAAATACAAAGGTGCTTGTATCCACAAGATTTACTAAATTGACCAGGTATACCTGTGGAGCTCTTATTATGTTCACTCTGGGCCCAAGCCAGTTCTTGCACCAAGATAAGGAATGATATGGTACCAGTCACAATTACGGGTACATTATGCAAGTGTTAGACCTTAACAATAAAATGCAGATCAGCGACCATAATTTAGTAGCAAAGAGCTTACTGTCTCATCTCCGCTCTTAGCTCCTGGATTTCCTTCAACCTGATTCCCTGACCTACAAGAATAAGTGTTATGCTAGTTAAAAGTAATCACTGTTAGAGCAGTTTTAATACTGATTATAGGGAAAGATATTTATTCATGTATACATGTTGTTGAACAAATTAAATGGTCCATAGTGGACAATGCTTACTGCGAGAGCAGTGATCCTTCAACTTCATATATGATATCAGTAATTATCCAGTTATCAGGGTAAGGTTTTTCCACTTGGTGCAAAATAATAATTAACCTGCTTGCAGTTTAAGAAGAAAACAATACATACTTCAAGCTTTAAATCATCTCCTCCTTGACCATAGACCTCACCTTATAAGAAATCACAAACAATATAATATCATCAGAAGAGTAACAAGCAAAATTTAAAATAAAAATCTGAACAAAGTCATAGATTTTATGACATTAACGACTACGATAGCTTTAGAGTTATATAAACCAACTAATGAGGAAAAGAAAAAAAGACAAAAGATACTAAGCAAGATTATATCAGTTTAAACCAACAATTATAAGGTATAAACCTATATCACCATAAATAATTCTTCAATTATATTCACACATGAATAGAATGTAACAAAGGTTTCAAAAGTTGGAACCAAACTTACATTAGAAAGTCTAAATGGACAAAACTTAGGCTTTCCCTTACGTCCATATTTCAGAAGCTGACCACCCTTCTTCAAAGCTATTAATGCCAACATAAGGTACAAAGATTATTTGCAGAAAGATAAAAACATTAAGAAAGTAACTTTATGATCAAGAAAATTTACAGCCTAATAAAGCATGCACCTTCCAAATTCATTAACTAAAGCGCCAACCATTTTTTCCCGGTTCTAATAACCAATAAATAACACAAAATTTCAACATTCTTAAGCATAGTGCTCTAGATTCTCCTAAATCAGATTCCAAAAAAAAATCTTCCAAGCAATGTGAAGTCTCCAAAAATCTAGAAATAAGAAACCAAATGCTACACTTAAAGATTCCAAAAAATAGAAGAAAATCCAAAATTTCCTCCAGATAACCCTTCGTTTCTTCCCATGATCAGAATAAGAATAAAGTAAAACAAAGAAAAATAGAAAGGTAAAAGGGAAGATCTGGTCGATGTCACGTTGGGCATTACCGTAGCTAACAAGATCTGTCATTCTATGTGAGGAAATTACAAACGCCACAGCCCTTTATGATCGCTCCCCGAAGCTCCGTTCATCATCTGTAACTATCACCTCTCCTATTTTCTCTTCACTTCGCTCCTCTTTCCCTCCGACGCTTACCATCCAAAATAAAACAACGCTTCAACTCTCCATTCCGAAACAGCTAACGAAAATCAAAAGTAATTCCTTTAGCAGATCTACCGTGATATATGGTCCTTCAACACCGAAATACCATTATTCACCTCTTTCAATGAACCCTTCTTTACACCCTTCTTTATAAAGAGTAGTAGAAGAAAAAAATGTGAAAGTGCAGCCAGAAACCGTAGAAGTAACTAAGTATCAATGGCAAGTGACACGCAAAACAGAGAAACAAAGGATGGATTAATTGAAAAAGATTAAAAAGAAGTTTCTAACCCTATGACATTTTACATCAGCAAGCTTCTTTATCAAATGTATTTTCCCTTTGGGTAAAGTTGTGGTGAATGGATAAAGTAGTGGACAGATGCAAAGAGAAAAAGGAAAAAAGAGAAGGGGAGAAGCATGTGTGTGTGAACTGCTTATAGAGGAGGCCAGGACTAGAAGCGGGAAATGATGAAAATAATGGGGGGAAATTAAAAGATGACTTTTACAGATGACACACAATTAAAGTGTACTCCGTGTTTTTTCAAATGTTTTGGATTATGACTATTAAATATGACACACATTATTGTAAGTAATAAATCGTTCAGATTTAAAAAAAAAACATGATATTTTTTAATGACACACATTTTTTTTGCAAGTCATAAATTAGCGTGTGTCATTAAAGGTATATTTTCTTTTAGTGTTTTATAGTATTTAGATATGTTATCATAATGTTTAATGGAATGATATTACGAAAAATTTTAGAGTATGAACTGCTCTAAAATTACTCTAAAATGAATAGATTAATAATTATGTTGTTTTTATGGTTATCGATGCTTCGGAAATAAATGTTAATCTGCAAATTTAATTTAAAAGCCCATTGTATGTGTATTGAGAGTCATAGTTGCATTTCGACATAAATTGTATATAATGGTTATTGATTGATTTTGTGTAATCATTTTTGTATCAATACTATGTGTAGTTTTGGCACTAGATATGCAACCAAGGTATTCATAATGTGTTTGTGAATTAACATTTCAACATACAATTATGTATACAAGTTATCGATTGATTTTTTTAAATGCATAACGGTGCATTTTTGTATTAGTACTATATGTACTTTCGACACTATGTGTGCATCCATGAAATTCATATTGTGAATTTCCATTTCGACACTTAGGTGCAACGCATGTACCTTGCATTCTCATTTGACATACATTGGGAAAATAAAGGATAAATTGTAAATCAAAATACAGATGGATAGGTATGCCGGGCATACTAAATATTGTTTCGTAAATTATGTGAAAGAAGCTTGGTTTACCAAGCCAGTTTGATGTATTGTTATGATATATACAATTTAATTTGTATTTTGATATTTTATGAGATACTTATGTTTTCAGTCACATATCTTTTGTATTATTATGCCTCACTAAGTAAATACTTAGCGTGTGTTGATTTCACGCGTAGGTAATAGCAAAGACTAGCGGAGTAAGGAGTGCATCGGATATCATCAATCAAAGGTCGCCTCACCAGTAACTGTAGGACAATTATGTCTACTTTTGATAATTAGATGGCATGTATTGGACTTATGAAAATGCTCTGGAATGTATTTGAATTATGATTATCGTAATATGTTATAACTTTAAGTATATTTTTAACTACTGAAAGTTAACGAATGTTTTATTATTATTATATTAAACTATTTTACTTTCAGAAATAAAATTTTATGGGTTTACAAATAAGGAAATGTTTTAAAAATCATGTGACACATGTGACTTGTGTACGGAAACATATACGAGAAATTGGTGTTACACCTACAGTATCGATACCAATTTTGTTTAATGAAATTTTAACAACTTGAAAAATAATAGGTAGTATTGGTACTACCAGTAGAGTATTGATACTTTTCTTTACTATAGTATTGATACCTCAAGAATAATATAGGTACTATTAATGTGATATTGATAATGTAAGAATAATATCAATACTGCTTACTTAGAAAAATATTTTGTGTTCAAATTCTTGTTTAATAAACTTTGAATAATTTTTAAAAATTTAAGTTCAAGAACATTTTGCACTTATATTGTTATACCAAAATACATGCTTCAACAAATCAAAAATAGTTTTATCATTATGTTTATAATTAATTACGGTTGAAGTTAGAACAGATCAGGGGCGACTTCAAACAAGACACTAACGTCTTGTTGATTTAATGGTTATTACTATTGTCCTTCTAAAAATATTATAATTTAACTTAAATCTTATTAATGGAAAACAACAGCTCAATTTGTACTGATGCCAAACACAGATATGAGTTGAATACAAGTACATTTAATGTTTTTAAAATATGTATATCGAATATGTAATAAATTTTTTTTTAAAAATATAGATGTGAGCTATTGGAAGGTGTGTCTAACAATGCTACCTGGTTATGAATAAAATAGATAAGGATCTTTGTATGTTTTTATATTAAAAAAATTATAAAATCTTAAAAATAAAAATAAATTTTCAATAAATAAAAAAATAGTTATAATCATTTCTCGGAAGAGAAAACTCCAACTGTGTTAATTTAACTTTAACCTTTATGGGGGCCACCGTGATCTGTTTTTTCAACTTGGTCATCCATGCCATTTGGCCCGAGTTTCATGGATTTCATTTTCATCACGAGCTTAGAAGTCTTATGTCTCATGATTTTCCCATGCAAAAAAGCTTAATGGGTGCATCCATTGGAGCTATTATGTTTGCCTTTTCTTGTTGGGTTGATTAGTTGAATTAATGAAGACAGTAAGTAGTTGAAACTCAGATTTGTTTCATGACTCTAAATTGATTTTGGGCAAATGAGTTTCGTGATTCCTCAGTTTTTGTGACCAATTGTAAGGCCGAAAGCTTGTTCTTCCCCCCCCCCCCCGGCTTTTCAAATGTACCTATAAAGATTAAACAGAATTGAATGAGAATATACACTGTAATTTCTGTTATCCCATGTGATTCACTTGCGCTTTTACTTGTGTTTTGCAAACAAAACAAATGTTAAATTTTATCAACAAGGTTGATTCAAGTGATAAGTAGCTTGATATCGCTTAAACAATGTCTCAGGTTCGAGTTCTTGTATATGCAAAGAATCCTCGCTGGGAGATTCATCCAGCAAAATCAGGTGTGCGACCCGATCGATCCAGATTATTAGGGTGAAGCATTGGAACTAGGACGACAAAAAAAAAAGTGAGCAAATTTTAATTTTAAAAAGTTTTAATTAAAGTTTAAATGATAAATTATGACCTACTTTAAATTTATTTTTGATTAAATTTGAATTTCATGCTCTTATATTACTATAAGATATTTATGTGAATTTTTATTTTTAATAACAAATTTAATCTTATTACAATTTAGTCCTTTAATTTTACATTTTATTCAATTTGGTTTTTTACATTATTTCTTTTCTATAAATTCTATATTCTCATCAATTTCTTGACCACTTTATACTCCCACCAATTGTTTGTTCTCATGATACATTCTTTAAAATATAAAAATAAAAATATATTTTATAATTTTAGATGATATTTAATTTATTAAATAATATTGTAATGTGAAATAGAATATGAATAAATATATATTTATATCTTATATGATTAGAGAAATTCATTAATTGGAACCTATGTACCATAGTTTTATAAATGGTTATAATTATATATAAATAAAAATATGAACACTTCGACTCGGATTAAAAAATTAAATAAAATTTAAATAATAAAATATAATTTATTGACTCAACTAATTTAAATTTTTTTTGACTCGGTCGTACACTCACTCCCATAATATATTACTCCATAATTAATTATCTATACTACAATAAAATATTAACCATTTGAAGAAGTGACAGATGTTTTCTTCTTCAAACATTTTAATCAAATTTAAATCTCGTTAAGGATTTACTTAAATATCATTGAATAAAATATTTTTTAAAATAGTGTTAATTTTAATATTTTTATATATTCTATTTAGAAGAATTGAGGTCTCTATCTAGACCAGTTTTTAAAGGTGACTCCTGTGAACAAAACTCACCTCGATTAAAAAAATAAATTTTTTACTCAATTCGATTCGAAAAAACTCGACTCGAAATGATTTCGAGTTGTAATTTCATAAACTCGACTCGAAAAATTTTCAAGTTAAAATCGAATTGTAAAATACAACTTGAATAACTCGAAATTTTTAGTAATTAGTGGATGAATTTTTAAGTTTAAATCGAGTCCCTCAATTCTGTATGATATATATATATATATCATATATGAAATAAATATATATGTATTATATTTTTTTATCACAAATCACACAGGAATGTATTGTTATATATATATATATATATATATATATATATATATATATATTGTATACAATCATAAAAAACCATTTAAATTGAAATCAAATAATATCATAATATTATAAATATTGATAATTAAATTTCGACTCGACTCGACTAAAAAAAATTTCAAGTCAACTCCGAGTTGTAAAATAGGACTCGTAAACTCGAATAACTTGAAATTTTTTACTCGACTCGATCGAACACTCATCCCAGTTGTATCTAACGACACCTATATGATTCAATAATCATTTGTACTATATGCATTTGTTTAATTCAAAAGCATTGGACAATTCACCTATATATAAATCCCCTACCCCAAAACTATTCAAATCATTCAATTCCCAAAGCCCCCTACCAAAACTCATTAAGTAAGCAGCCAAAATAATACAACCGGTACCCTACCAGCTTTCTACTCTGTTTTCTTCTTCAACTTGCCTTTCCGTCTGAAAGCAGCATCAAACCTTCTTCTTCATTTCCCTCCCCGTCTTGTTAAGCAACCATGGCTTCCTTCGAATTTGATAACGTCAAGGCCGAGAAAGAAGATGCCTTATGGAGATACAACTTGGAGATGAAGTTGAGGATCGCTCCTCGTTTCATTGGTTTTTTGTTGCTCTTCTTCTTGCTATCATGGCCTTGCTTCCCCGCCTTCCGGACTGCCTGGGATTTTCGCCGCTGTTTTATTTCTACTTTTAACAAGCCTCTCTTCACGTTCATCGTCGTAAACATCATCATCGTTGCTGTTTATGTTTTGTCTACCAAGAAAAAGACCCATAAACAGAGCTCTACGAACGATATCTACGACGAGTACATCAGCTCTCGACGGAGTATACCTGCATCTACCGTCGTCACGACCGCCATATCCAACTCTCGGATCGCGATGGACAAACAAAGGGTCATGGTGGAAAATGCGGCTTCTATTTCTCAAGTAAAGCGTCAACCTGTGACAGTTGATACAGTTACTGAAACTAAAACTTCCCTTCCAACAGTTAAACCACAGCCTAAGAAGATCCGTGCAGAAGTGAAGCCAAAGCAGTACCGAAGAAGTAGATCAATGGCTTCGGAATCTCGACGGGAACGACCACGAGAACGGGAGTTACGGAGTGTGAGCAGTCGAGAATTGGGCAGGAAATCAATGGAAGAGATGAGCAATCAAGAGTTTCAGTTGATAATCGACAGGTTCATCGCTGAAAGGAAGAAGACTCTGATGCAAGAAAATACTGCCCAGGAGAAAATTAAGCATGTTAGGTATAGAGGAAATGAATGAGTTAAGAACAAAATCTATCTCCATTTTTGGAGTTACTTATTAGGTTGCTGGATCCTTAAATTGATTACTGTCTGTCTGAGATGTACAGTGATAATATTTTCAATTGTTATTTGAAATAAATTAGGTTATCATGATCATCTATTAATCCATGTTAGCTGACTCTTAAAGATGAGCAATTCTGATTTTATTATTGTTTTGGGTCCAAAATGAAAGTGCTAGCAGTCTAACGAAAGGGTAAAATTATGTCACATCTAAAATTTTAAATATTTATATAATTTTTATTAATAATTTAATTTTAAACCTTTTATATTTTATATATATTAAAACTAACACTCATTGTTTATTTAAAATATTCATTTTAGCTCTTATTATTTTTTAGAATATTTAAGCCTTTAACGTTTTATTTTGGAACAAAAAGCTTCATTTATAGATAAAAGCTCTCTGTTTACAAGATTAACACTCCAAAATAGGGGCACTTTTATCCGAAAATGAAATGTCGAGGGTAAAAATGATCTATTAAAAAAATAAGAGTCAAAGTAAATTATCAAATGTTAGGAGTCTTTTTACCCTAAAATAAAACGTTGAGGGTCGTATTACTCCAAAAAAAGACCTAAAATAATAATTTTGATAAACGTTAGAGGCTAATTTTAACATTATACATTTATCATTTTATATTCTTTAAATTTTTAATGACTTTATAAAATTTACGTCCAATCTTAAAATCCAAATTGTGATTCTTTTTCATTAATGTGTGTTCAGTTGCCATGAAAATTTTATTTGAATTGTATTACGATTTCCTATTGTTTTCACTCTTCATGGTTATATGGCCACATAAATAGAGTTATATTCCCATCACATCAACTTTATTTGTCATTTTTTTAATCTAGAGCATTTATAAATGATAGTAATTATTCTAAAGACTCTCAATTATTTGATAATAAACGTTTAAATACTTTGCACTCTTTGATGCTCAATTTAAGACTTCTAAAAACAATGATTATTCCTTTAGCCGTCCGTCAACTCATTTTTATAGTTTATACATCAGCTAAATGTAATGATTATGTTCAATAAATTAGATTATGTGATCATGTAAAATCTTTTATAAATTTTATGTCATATTTTAATTTAATATTATATTATTTAATTAATTTCACCTCATAAAGTTATAGTTTTCTATAATTAATATCAAAAAGTGATAATTTTATTCATTTTAAAGGTATACATACTTAAACAAACTACACACTAAAATATAGAAACCTATGCAGTACTTTTACCGTCATCTTCTTAGGGTCCAGCAACTTTCATTATTTGTAGTGTGTGAATTATAGTATTTTTATTTATTCATTTAATAGTTTAAATAAATTTTGAATCAAATAAAACTATATAAAAAAATCTCTCTCGCTATGTATTTAACATATTATTGCGTTCTTAATTACTTGAAGCTACGAACTTGCCATTATAAGAATGGCTTTAACAATCAATTTTCACAATGACATTTGATGCAGTTACGAAATATTACAATGACATTATACGGTAAATAGCTTGATATCATTTGATATTGTTTAAGCAATGTCTCAAGTTAAAATTCCCTTTGAAAGATTATCTATCAAAACTAGAAGTGCAACTCGGGTCAGTCTAGATTGGTTAGAATGAAATCTTGAAACTGAAAGTCATAAAAAAAATTGAAACATTTGCAGTAACTTCTTGATGCCATTATCGAATTTAATTTTCGGTTTACTATTCTGTACCGCAAGGTTTATTGTTACAATTTTATATTTAATGATAAAATATATTGTTGTTAAATGTTATAATATAGCAACGACTTTAAAATACTACTATACAGTTTATATTTTTTATTAATCACAATAATATTAAATATAATGGTTGAGTTTAATTTTATCGATATTAGTTCTTTACAGATGTTACACCAACTTAATAAACTCTAGAATATATATAAATATCCGTCATTCATTCTAAAATCATTGTTTAATAATTTTCGGTTAAACCACGATTTAAAATTTTGTAAGCACATTTAATATTGGTAAATGTGATTTTTCTTATGGTGTACATTTTGATTTATCCTTCCATCTTGTATTAAACAGTTTTCTTTTTGCCCTACCAATTAATCCTCCAAATCCCAAAGCCACAACGAAGAAAATCAAACAAGAAAAAAAAAAGCATTAAAGGCCATGAAATACGTGAAAAGCCATAAAAATGGTGGGGGCATGAGGATTTGCTTCATCAGTACCCTATCATGAAAATTGCACTTCACTCCTGCATAATGAAGTAATAATTTAGAATGTTGGATGAATTTTTACTTCCGAAACCTTCCAAATCTTCCACCGAAAAGTCAATAACTTTTGCTCCACTTTAATCCATGCTTTGTCTTCTTTAATAGTATTTAATCATCATTACCTACACTAATTTGAAGGGCTTTCAACAACTTTAGATACTACTGAGCAGAAAAATTAGAAGTATTACGGATGAATATTTGATCGAATTGAATAATCTTGTATTAATTGAGTTAATAAATCTTGTTTTATCATTTAAATTTTATTTAATTTTTGAATCAGGTATATTTATTTGAGTTAAATTAAAAATTAAACAAATCACATTAATTTTTTTGACAAGCTAGATAAATTCTAATTCAAAGTAGTTAAATTAGAGTGTATATATATTTCAAAGATAATAAAATTTAATATGATTAACTAGGTTTGCTAATTTATTTGTTTAATATTTAAAACTAATAAAACTTCAATTAATTCAAGAATAAATTATTATATAACTTAGTTTGTTTTGAAAATGTTTTAGGATCCTTAAAGATTTTTTTATGAGAATTTAGTCCATGATTCAATCCCTTCGAAAATGATAAATCACCACGGGTGGAGGCAGAGGAGCTGGCTTTGGGTTCAAACTCTTTAAATGGTAAAATTTCATCTTCAATCCCTTTAAAGTTTCACATTATGGCGCCAAAGCTGTGTAAATACCTTTTGGCCCCTGAAATGATAAATTTTAATTCAATCATATTATAAAAATTATATAATTATAAACCAACATTTTTTAATATTTTCAAAAATTAATAATTTTATGACTCCCAGAATTATATTATTATTAGTACCTACAACTACAATCACAACTAGAAAATTTTTAAGCAGTCTACGGTGATTATAAGGTAACATCTATTCATAACTTACTTTAATCTTATGATAACATACACAGTTTACAAACGTCGTTGCTCGAACCCTAGATCTCTAAAAAGATTAACATTCTATAACACCCTAAACCCGATTAGGCCTGTTCATTTTCCTTTAAACACACTGAATGACATCATAAATAAAACATAAATAACGAATATAAACATTTTACAAAATTGAAGCTCTGTGACTCATAATTTAAAATCAAAATAATACATCTCTTTCTTATAAATCTAAATACATAAGTAAGGTCATGTTAATACACATGCCCTCTAAACTACAATACATTACTCTGAAGGAGATTTTGGAAGTCCTACTGCGATGGTTCTCCACGAACTGCTCAAGCTACTGACTTGCCAACAGAAAACATCCAAAGGTTGAGCTTACAAAGCCTAATAGTATAATCACTAATCTAGAGCAACATAAGAATTCCATAAATATAAATATAAATATAAATATAAATATAAATATAAATATGTTGAAGACATGGTACTAAGCAGTAGGTACATGCATGGTCTAGATCAAGTTTCACTGAAGTATAAGTCTCACGCTTCCCTTATTCCTCAGCTAAGGGTCTCTCCATGAGTACACCTCTAAAGGGTCTCTAACTTTAATGACTGTAACTGCTACTCATTGTCTAAATGTGACTCTAACACCCCTATGAATTTCCTGAATGCAACATTGACTCTGATGTGCATTATCTGAATGTAACACTGGCTCTACTATGCTAGAATTTGGTATCACACATCATTAGATACTAGCCTACTAACAGGGGGTACTGATATCACACAATATCGATAAGGTCCCTTATAATTTGCTGGATGATCTCCTGGTATCACATAGCATCAGGTAGACCATCGAGAAGGAATCCTGGTATCACACAACATTGAATATTCCCCCTCAACTGAAGCTTGGCTTGGTATCACACAACATCAAGCTAAGTTTTTCTGATAACTGAGGTACTAGAAAGATGCAACTATACATGCATATCTAAGTCCCAAAGGCCACACAACACTGCCCTAGCTAGCTCCTGAAGTTCCTCATACACTTACAATGCCCCAGTAGGGAAAATAAGGTATTGAGTTAATCAATTGACGGAATCGGCCAAGAGGGGGGTGAATTGGCAATTAAAATTTTGTGGAAGCTTTTGCAGAAAATGGAAAGTAATTACACAACGATTTAGAGTGGTTCGACTTTCACAATCAAAGTCTACGTCCACTACCTTAGCTATCCACACTGAGGATTTTCCAACAAATTTACTAATTTGTTCTTTCTTTTGATGCCAAAGAGATAACCTTACAACACCCTCAAGAATATACCCCAATTCTTGAGAACACTCTTTCCCAAAGAGAATATTACAAATTTGCAAACTTACAAGGAAATTCTCACAAGGTAGAATGTTTGCACAATTCTAGAACAAAGAATGAATACAATTGAGTACAAGTAGTGTTCTTGAAAGCAAAATGAATATTGAATGAAAAATAGGTTTGAAATGAACAAACTTGAGGTTTGATGCTTTCTCTTTGATTCTCTCTTGATTCTAGTTGCTTGTTGTTTCTTGTTTTTGATCAATGGCTTCTAAGCTTGTTTAAATACTTCTTGAATCAATTCTGAACGTTGGGGATGATTAGTGGAGATAATAGAGCCGTTTTAGTGTGAAATCAATTAATAAAACAACTTGGAGCGCGGGGGGAATTGGTTCCCCTGATAGGGAATCGGTTCCCTAAGTGTAAAATTCAAATATTTCGACCGTTAAACAGGGGGAATCGGTACCTCCTGGGGGGAATCGGTTCCCTCCGAGCATTC